GTGGGTGTGTAGACAGGTGACTTTTTGATATGATTTGCGCAATAAAAAAAAGCTGTTCACTGTGATATTGTAAAGAAACCTATTGCTGTGGTCACAGTATCAATGTTCCTGTGACAAATAAGTATTTTAGTAAAATGGGCATTACAGTACAGTATCATGATTTCATATCACACCCATATACAGTATTGGCAAATCACTGGACATCATACAATGTCACATTATAAATCATTATAACTGGGACAAAGCCTTTGTCATAATTAATTTTTCAAGGGTGGCTCTTCTAGCTACTGTAAGTTGAACATTTACAGTTACAGTAAAATACGGCATTTTATAATAAATAAAAATATTTAAATAAACAATAAATTATAAATGAAAAATTACATATATACTGGTATATTATCTATGAAAAAATGCTAATGTTGAGTGGACTTGGAGTGGATATAAATTAAATGAAATCAAGTGTGTATTTTCAGGAACTGGACGTGGATTAATGGCCAAGAGGTCATTTAAGGTTTGTGACTTATTTATTATTCAACAATATTTTGTGAGAGCAATTCCAGTGTCATGCTATAAAACAAATATACACTAGACCAGCTTCCAAATAATATATTTACTTGTTCTATATTTTTTGACTTTCTTTTTTTTTTAGCCTGGCGATACTATAGTTAAAGTTCCACCTTGTCTGCTCATTACAACTACCACTGTTCTAAGAAGTGATATTGGACCAGTTATTAAACAGTAAGTCCATCTTAAATCTATACTGTCGAAGAAAAGACCAAAGTATGTTTGCTATGATATGAGCATTCCTCTGTCAGGTTGGCAATTTATATAAGCAAATGATGCATTTTATTGTAATTGTTTAAAATTAGCTATATTAGCATTTTTCAACATATTTGTGTCAATTTACGCATACTGTTTACGCATACATACTGTTGGAATTTTCAATGTGTACCAGTATCTTATTCCTCTGAATAATTATGATAGTAAACTGTGTGATGATGATTTAACAAAACAATGACAAATAGTGACTCAATATTTTTACTTTCAGACATCCAGAATTAACGCCAAGGCAAATGTTGTGTATATTCCTGTTAATTGAAAGGCATAAAGGACGATTATCCTTCTGGAGCCCGTACATCTCTCAACTACCAGATACGTACACAACACCTTCATATTTCACAGATGAAGAACTCAATTCCTTACCACAACATCTCCACCAAAAGTCCTTGTTCCAAATTGAGACAGTTAACGATGAGTTCCAAAAAGTTAAAACATTTTCTGAATGTCTTAAAAGCTTGGATTTGCATTATATCAGGTTGTTCACGTTGGAGGCGTTCAGGTGGGCGTGGTTCGTGATCAACACTAGATCTGTGTACATGGATCCTGATGTTAGCCAATGGAAGAATTCGCATGAGGTTGACTCCTATGCATTAGCACCATTTCTTGATTTGCTGAACCATTCAGCCAAAGCAGAGGTGAGTCATTATTAAATGGTGGTAGAGTATAAACACAATCCATATAATATGGAGAAATATGTGGCACAGTGAGAAAGCTCCAGGCTTCTAATACAATAATGCA